ATTCAATGATGATTTATTTTATTTATTTTAAAAGAAGATAGAAAAGACAATAAAAGAAGTAAAATAAAATATTTCGTTCATAAAACAAGAATAAAGTCTAAATAATAAATCAAACAAAGAAATTATTCATTTTAATAATGTGTAATGTGAAGAATCTCCATTAATTAATAAAAAAATGATAATTCTATTAAAATATTTATTATCTAATTTTTATCTTTAAATTTTTGAATTTTTCTTTTTGAAGTTATTTCAGTTAAATTTTTCGTTTCATAATAGTTTATAAATAGTATATCTTTAAATACATTAAAATGATTTTTTTGTTAGTTATTACAGCACTTGGACATCAATGTATTTTTAATGAAATCAATAAAAACACAAAGAAAAGTGTATTACCAACACTAAGGTCTTCAGTAAAGAGTAGTGCTAATTGGCATCCTCTTCGATTTAGTTATGATTTAATAGGGTTAACTGACCAATCATATGCTAGTCAGCAATGGTGCAAATACACAGGTGAGACAATTATTTTGTCTTCATCCAATATTTATAAATGTTCAGAAGATGATGTTTTAACAAAAGAGAAAATTGAATATATTGATGTTTGTTTTATTAGTCTTATTACAAAAATGACATAATACTTATATTACAGAGATTATTTCAAAGCCTCAACCAGAGCATTTCTGAAGTTTTTAATGTTCATACAATTAATTATAATAAAGTTATTCCTGGTAAAAAATATTGTGGAGAAGCAGTATTTCCTGAAACATATACTATTCCAGAAGAAAGTGATTTCCATATTATGGTAACTTCACACCCACATACTTCTTCTGGTGTATTTGCTTATGCCGCTGCATGTTACTTTGGTATGGATAGTCAAGTAAACAAACGGCGTTCAGTAATGGGATATGTAAATATTGTTACATCAGCATTAGAACCAACTGAAGAACGTTTTAGAGATCAGGTAGGAATTATTTTTCATGAAACAATGCATGCACTTGGGTTTGATGGTAGTCTTGGTGTAGATAAAAAAGTTGGGGATTTAAATTTAAAAGTTGTCGAAGACGAAGTTGTTGTTGCTCGAGCAAGAAAGCATTTTGGGTGTGACAATATGACGTATGTTCCTCTTGAAGATGGAGGAGGAAGAGGCACAGCAAATGCACATTGGGAAAGAAGAATTTTTATATCAGAAATCATGAATGGTATTACTTCAAATAATCCAAGAGTTAGTGAGATAACATTAGCTTATTTTGAGGCGCTTGGAGTTTATAAACCAAATTATGAAATGGCGGATGCCTTGTCTTGGGGAAGGGGTCTTGGATGTTCCTTCTTAGAGGATTGTTCTAAATGGCCTAAACAAAATGGATATTATTGTAGGACTGGTGTGAGGAGGTGTACTAATGATCGTTCTGCTATTGGTATATGTGATGGAAATTCATTTAAAGAAACGTTAAACCAATCATACCAACATTATGGAGATCCACATATTGGTGGAAGTGATGAGATTGCTGATAATTGTATATTTGTATCACCTATTGAAACTAGTTATTGTTATCAAAAAATGAGTGCATTATCATTTGACTATTATTTTACTTTGGAAATGCTTAATCATGGACAAAATTTTGGAGATACTTCAATGTGTTTTGAAAGTTCATTAATTAAATTTATACCATTTGGTATTAATAATTATCATTGTTATTCAGTTGCTTGTATGAATAATTCATTTTATAAAATTTCAATTGATGGTAGATATTATGACTGTGATAAATCAATTAAAGTTCGTGGATATGGAGGTAAATTAATTTGTGCAGATCCAAAAGATATTTGTGGTAATAGAGTTATAGAAACATGGCCTGAAATTGATTCTGTAGAAAATAAAACAATTTCAGTTGGAGATGTTTTAGTTATTAATGGAAGGAATCTTGACGTTGTTCAAAAAGTATATATTGATTATACTTCATGTAAAATTCTTCATAAATCAAAAGAACAACTTCAAATAGAAGTTGATTATCATGATCCGTTTATATCATTTATTTCTTTTGAAGCTTCATTAATGATAGAAGCAAATGAATCAGTAAATTCATGTTATGATCATTTGATAAAAATTAAAGTACCCACTTATTATATCTTTTTAAATTTTGGAGATTGGGTGATGACCAATTATATTTTTATTGCTGTCATTCCTGTATGGATTATTTTCTTTATATTATTGTTTGGATATTATACATTAAAAGTTGTAGTGATAAGACAAGCAGAAGAAGTTCGTGAAGCAAAAAGGGAAATTAATCTTCGTTTAGGTAAATTGAAGGACAAACCACAAAAGAAAAAGCAAAGCTTTTGTGTTATGTTTTAATTAAAATTGTTATTCAAATGTATAATTTGTTTTTTGTATCTAAAAAGGAAATTCTTAATCTTTTAAAAAACAATTTAAATCCTCTCTTAATGACACTACTTATGGTTGCTGAAAAACCACTTCTTGCTGAGTCTATTGCAAAATTTCTAAGTTTAGGTCCTATTCACACAAGAAAAGGAATAGCTCCAAGTTGTCCTGTTCATGAGTTTAATTGTAAATTTAAAGGAAAAATAACAAAAGCAAAAATGACATCAGTGGCAGGTCATGTTTATACATGTGAATTTGAGCGTGCTTTTCAAAATTGGTCTGTAGATCCAAGAGATTTATTTAATTGTAAAGTTATCAAAGTAGAAGCTAACCCTAAAACACGTATTCCAGCTCATTTAAGAAATGAAGCAAATGGATGTGATGGATTAGTATTATGGCTTGATTGTGATAGAGAAGGTGAAAATATTTGTTTTGAAGTAATGGATAATACAGTAAGTTATATGACTAAAACATGTAAAATTTATCGAGCGTTATTTAGTTCTATTACTAAAAAAGATATTATTGAAGCATTTAATCATCTTGGACATCCAGATGATAGACTAGCAGAAGCTGTTGATTGTAGACAAGAGATTGATTTAAGGGTTGGAGTTGCTTTTACTCGTTTACAAACTAAATTCTTAAAAGAACGATTTCCCAAATTAGGAGATTCTTTAATAAGTTTTGGACCATGTCAAACACCAACTCTTGGGTTTTGTGTTGATAGACAAAAAGAAATTGATAATTTTGTTTCAAAACCATTCTACACTCTTAAAGTTATAATAGAAGATCATGAAGGAAGAAACAAAACTTTAAAATTAGATAAACACTTTGATAATAAGTCTGAGGTTGAAGATATTGTTAAAAGTTGTAAAGGGATTCAAGGTAAAGTTATTAAAATGAATGTCAATGAATTAAAAAAATCAAGACCAGTCGGCTTAAATACTGTAGAAATGTTAAAAGTAGCATCTGTAAAATTAGGACTTGGTCCGCAAGAGACAATGAGTATTGCAGAAAAGTTATATACACGAGGATACATTTCATATCCTAGAACAGAATCAACTAAATACTCTTCTCATTTCAATTTTACTGATATTCTTAATAATTTACAACAAACAAATCAATTTAGAGAAAAAGTTCAATTAATTAAACAAAATGGAATTAATATTCCTTATAATGGAGAAGATAAAGGAGACCATCCACCTATTACTCCATTAAATTATCCAAATGAATATTTAAATGATTCAGAAAAGAGACTATTTGATTTTATAACAAATACATTTCTTGCATCTATTTACAAAGACTCAACCTTTCAAAGGGTTAGTGTTTCTGTTCAAATTGGTAATTATACATTTAATGGAAGTGGAAAAGTATTAAAAGATCCAGGATTTATGAAAATTACTAATCATTATGATGAAGATGAAGAACTTAAAGATTCTGATTTGATTAAACCAACGTCATTTATTGAAGGAAATATAGTTATTCCTTCTATGTTTGATATTGTTAAAGGTATGACTAAATGTCCAGATTATTTAACAGAATATGAATTAATTTCGTTAATGGAAAAGAATGGAATTGGAACAGATGCAAGTATTCCTGTTCATATTCAAAATATTATTTCACGTGAATATGTTAGTTTAGATACCTCAAAAAGAACTCTTAGACCAACTAAAATTGGATTAGCATTAGCTAGAACATTAGAAACTGTAGACAAAAATTTGATTACTCCACAAATTAGAGCACATATCGAATCAATGGTTTCTAGAATAGCAGAAGGAAAGGCACAATATGAAAATGTTCTTGAAGAAGCTTTAGATACATTTGAACAAAATTATTTGATTTACAAAAAAAATTTAAAAGTTCTTGAAGACAATTTCGCACCATTATATCAAGTTCAAGAACAAAGTAGGCTATTTAGTAAATGTGGAAAATGTGGAAGAATCTTATTAAAAGTTATAGGAGATCAAACATATTTATCTTGTCCAACTTGTTCTTTAAAATTTAATTTACCTCAAAATGCATCATATTCACAACAAACAAAATGTTGTCCTATTTGTAAATTTGAAATTATTATGACTTCATCTCTTAAAAGTACTAAAAAAGAAATGGTATGTCCGGGATGTTATAATGAAAAGAATCAATTCATGAAACAAGAACATAGTTCTTGTTTACAATGTTGTAATCCTGAATGTAAATTATCATATGAAAGAACAAAAACATGTTTATGTAGTGTGTGTGGTGGTGTAATGTGTTTATCTTCATTACAAAATAAATGGAGTTGTTTTTGTAATACTTGTGACAGTCATATAGAATGGATTGATAATGTAAAAAAAGCTCTTCCAAATGATGAAATTTGTGGAAAATGTAAATCGTATCATCTTATAGATCTTACTATGAAAGATAATACAATGATTAAGGGATGTATGAATTGTGACTCATCAATTAAAAAGTTATATACTATCAAAGCAGTTATTCTTTCAAATTCAACACGAAAAGGTAGACATTATAATACTTCAAAAAGTAGAGGAGGACATATATCTCATAGTAAAAATAACTCCCATAAACATACATCAAGAACTGGTAAGTAAAAGAGAAAAATGAAATTAACTTCCTTTTTTTATAAATTTATTTATTCTTTATTTTCAATCTCTGAATCATCTTCACTACTATCAGAAGATGAGGAATGACTGGAATGTGAAGTTGACTGTTGTCGAATTGGGAATGTATTTTGTTTAAAGCTAGAGTCTTTTGTAATAACAATACAGTTAGAAAAGTTATATTGCTTTTCTACATTTGTCTCTCTAGCATCAATTTTTCTTATCAAATTACAGCAAAGTAATGTCTCAATAGATTTGTCTGTTATTTTTGTATGACGAAGGTATATAACTTCTAACCATTTACTCTTTAACATTTCTTGTATTCCATTATCTTCTACATTAGTAAATGATAAATCAAGTCGTTTTAATTGTTCAATTTGAGCTATATACTTCCATGCCTCCATTCCAATTTGATTAGCACCAGACACTCTTAATGTTTCTACAGAAAGGTCTTCCATCTCTTTTAGGGAATATTCACTAAAATTCTTACAACCATTAAAATTTAATACACGAAGACCTCTTAATGGTTCTAAGACATGAACACCTTCACCACTAATATTTTGACATTCTTCAAATGAAATAGTTTCCAATGAAGTTATTTTAGACAAATATTCAAAGACCTGATCATCAACAGATGTTTTACTAAAGTCAACATATCTTAAATATTTAACCATTTGTAATGCCTCAACTCCTCGTGAAGTTATTTGACTTTCTTTTAAATTTACTGAAACAAGATTAGGAAATTTACTACAAATAACAGTTAACAATGGGTCATCTATTGGTCTAGCATCAACTAATAATTGTTGAAGGTATTTTGGTGGTATTCTAAAAGCATCTTGTAATGTATCTGAGTTGACATGAACATTACTTAATCTTAAAACTTCAAGATATTTCAGAGAATTTAATGGTGATAAAATTTTTATACCATCACAACGTGAAATATCAAGAACTCTTAAATATTTTAAACGGACAATGATCTGAAGACCAATATGAGTAACCATAGTGTCAGAAATATTTAATTCTTCTAGAGACTTACGAATTGGACCTGTTTTAAATGGAGTTAATGAATAATCAGATAATGTAGGACATCCTTTAAGTGATATTCCAAGTAAATTATCCATTCGAGCAAGAACATCAAGATGATAGTTTGTAACTTCACTCTCATTTAAATAAAGGTATCTAAGAGAATTACATCCAGCAAGATAAATAAATCCATCTGAAGGAGATAATTGAGACAATGGAGTTTGAGCTGAAACACCACTAATTGGTAAATGACAACGAGTAAATCCAATAAAAACAAGATAAGGGAATAAATACAAATTATAATAAAATTCTGGTCCAAGAGGAGCATTAGAAATTTCAAGAGAAGTTAGTTGACTAACATCAATCATATCTTCAATTTTACCAATAAATTTTTTTGAGGAAATAGAAAGTTTTTTTAATCCAGTTAATTTTCCAATAGAAGGAATATCACTATCAGTTATATTGTAAATTTGCAATGAAGTAAGTGAAGTATATTTTGTAATATTTTGAATAGACTCACTAACTATTTGTTCTACTCCATACGGTGGTATAACATTTGGACATTCAAGTCTTTTAAGAGTATATAGTTCATTTAATGTGTCTTGTGAAATTCTACCACATTTCAAAGAAGTTAAATTACTCAATCGTGTAACTAATGCACTACAATCCATTTCAGAACTAGGGTCAACATTCAATCTTTTTATTTCTCTAAATAAACTAGATAATTTAGAATTAGGCTCGGTAACTGTCAGTTCTGGAAGTGTTTTTAAATAGTCCTTCCAAGTTTTACAAACAAGTCTACATTTCATTAAATCTTTTTGACTTAAATATCCAAAAACCTTATGAAAATCATCTTCACTTAGATTGTTAATAGACCAATTTTCATGGAAGGTTGTAAGTTCAATTGTATGATTTTTATTTTGTTCGAGACTTGGGCTATTTGTTTGTTGAGGTTGAGGAGAAGATTTAAACCAGTTCCACATGAGTTAAATAAATAAGTACTATTTTTAAGATTCATTTTCATCTTATCTCCACATTTAAAAAGATCTACCAACGTTCTTTCTTAAAATTTCTTTTCACAAAAAACATTTTTTAAACTAAAATAAAATATAAAAATTGTTTTTAGTTTATTACTTTCTTAATAATTAAAAAGCCAATGAAAATTAACACTAACATAACAAGAGTCATTGTCAGTGATGAGTTAGAGTTAGGTCTATGACTTATTTTATTTATTGGAACACTTCTTGTAGGTGATTGACAAAACTCTTGGAGTTTAGCTCTATTAGCACCACTAAATCTATCATATTCTTGACCATTTTTAAAAAGAATAAATGTAGGCATAGAACGAACACCATATCTTTGGGCAATATCAGCACCTTGGTCAACATCAACTTTTACAAATTTAATTGATGGGTTTGTTCTTGCAAGTTCTTCAAAATATGGAGCAATCATTTTACATGGACCACACCAAGTAGCAAAAAAATCTACCAAAACATTAGAATGTGTGGAAATAAATTTATTGAATGATGAAAGGGAGTTGATATGTTCTACAGACATTTATAATAAATTATTTTTTTTAAGTTCTTTTATTATTTGTTGATATATATAACAACAATTAATAAAAATAATACCCTAAAACATCATCTCATTCATCAAATAAACAAGTAATGGGGAAGTGTTGTCAACTTATTATGGGACCTGCTGGTTCTGGAAAGTCAACTTATTGCAAATATATGAAACAATATTTAGAAGACCTTCATAGAAAACCATTTATGATTAACCTTGACCCAGCAATTGATGAAAGTTATTATGATATTGATATCGACATTAGAGATTTAATTACAGTTGAAGATGTTATGAGTGAACTTCATTATGGTCCAAATGGTGCATTGGTATATTGTTTAGAATATTTTTTGGATAATATTGAATGGTTTGAAGAACAACTTGGAGATTATGATGATGATTATTTGATTATTGATTGTCCAGGTCAAATTGAGTTATATTCTCATCTCCCAGTCATGTCAAGATTTGTTGACTTTATGAAAAGAGAAAATTATTTTGTTTGTTTATTTATTAAAAATATTTATGGCATTATAATATCATACAAATAGTAATATTTTAGATGTGTGGTGTGTTTTTGGTTGATTCTCAAGTATTGACTGACTCTGCTAAATATGTGAGTGCAGTTTTATGTTGTTTATCAGTTATGACATCCCTTGAAATTCCACATTTAAATGTACTTTCTAAAATGGATTTATGGAGTAAAAATATGCAAAATACTGAGACTTTTTATGACTTCTTAGAAAATGATCCACTTTTTACTAGTTCACTAGATGAACAAGTAGGAGATCGTTATCACAACTTAAATGTTGCATTAGTTGAATTAGTTCAAAGTTATTCACTTGTTGGATTTAGTCCATTAAACATTAAGAATGAAGAAACCATTGATGTTCTTCTTCAAAAAATTGATACATGTCTTCAATATTATGATGATGCAGAACCACAAGAACCAAAAGATGAAGAAGAAATGAATGATTTAGATTGATTTATGTTATTTTCTATTATATTTTTTTGTTATATATTTTTGTTGGACATCAAAAAAAGTAATAAGAATTGGAAATAAATAGATCATTTAAACTATGACTAATAAAAAATATTTTGAATAATAAAAAATATTATAAATAATAATAAAATAAGAGAAAACCTATTTTTTTCAAAAATAACCAATTTAAACCTAAGAACTGAAAGAACCAAACAAACCTTCATTTAGAAATGGAAGCTGACCACCAACAACTTGCTATTGCTTTTGCTGCTCTTCTTATTCATGGATGTGGAAAAGAAGTAAATGCAGAAAGTATTCTTGCTGTTACTAAAGCTGCTGGTATTCAACTCGAAGGATGGGCCAATGCTATGGGTAAAGCTTTCAATGGAGAAAAAATTGAAAAGCTTCTTGAAGGATTCTCCTCAGCTGCCCCAGTTGCCGCTCCAGCTGCTGCTGTTGCTGCCCCAACTGAAACTAAAGAAGAAAAGAAAGAAGACAAAAAAGAAGAAGAGGAAGAAGAAGACTTCGGAGGATTTGGTGATCTCTTCTAATCAAATGGTTCGTTGTTGATTTAATTTTTATTACATTTTTTTGTTAATGAATAAAGACTATATCATATATAAATATTGAAAATATCAATTTTTTTATTGTTTTCTATGAAAAGTTATTGATTAAATTGTACTTTCTGACTATCTTTTATTAAAACCTAATCATTCTAAAAAAAGTAATTTAAACCTAGAACTTCTTTTTAAATTAAACCTTCATCCTAAATGGAAGCTGTTCATCAACACCAAGAACTTGCTGTTGCTCTTGCCACCCTTCTTATTCATGAAGCTGGAAAAGAAATTACTGCTGAACATATTAATAATGTTCTTCATCATGCCAACGTCAAGGTTGAAGGTTTCTGGCCAATTGTTATGGCTAAGGCACTTGCTAATGCTGACATCGAAGATTTAATTATGAACACTACCGCTGCTCCAGTTGCTGCTGCCCCAACTGCTGCCGTTGCAGCTAGTGAAACTGAAACTAAAGAAGAAAAGAAAGAAGACAAAAAAGAAGAAGAGGAAGAAGAAGACTTCGGAGGATTTGGTGATCTTTTCTAATCAAATGGTTCGTTGGTATTTTTTGTTTGTTACAATAAAAATATAATAAATAAAAAAGAGGTTTTTGATTTAATACAATTAGTTTGTTACTTGTTGTAATGATTCATATTGTTTTTGAGTGTTTGAATGACGACGATGTTTAATAAAGGAATATGTACATTCAACAGTCAAGAGAAATACACCAATTGTTGCAAATACAGCAAACACACAGACCCATGTAATTAAGCTTCCTTCTTCAAAATGAATTTCTTCGCTGGATGACATTTTTTAACTATTTTTTGTTTAAATTAGAAGATGAAAAGGGTTTTAAAAGAAAATTTGAATCAAAAGTGAATTTTAGTAAAGATGAACCAAATGAAGTTTGCTTTTTTGAAAATAAGAGTCAATCCAAACGAGTGTAACTAAATCTACCATTTGATAGGAAGTTCTTATAAATATTTCTGTAAAGAAGTTGAATATCAATGAGGTGATGAATTAGTGCTGAGAAGACAAGTACTAATGATGTTAGAATGATTAATACAATTGATGAATAATACCAACCATTTAATACCTTCATTAGATGATCTTCACATAGATTACACTCTTTTTGAAGACATCCACATTCTTCTTTTGATTCATTTTTATGACAGCAATGTGTCTATTAATGAATATAGATTTTACTAGTTGAAAAACAAAGAAGGAACAAACAATTCTTTCATAATATAACATTGTAGGATGGTCAACTCCATCAATAGTATCTTGGAATGTAAATGACATAATAATTATAATAAATATAAATGATATTAATCCAATAAATAAGGCTATATAACTAATGAATTTAGGATAAGGAATATCTTTTCTTCTTATTATTACAGAACAAAGAGAATGGCTAAAACAAATAAAACATAGTAATACACCATAACAACAAGTAACAAAACGAATAATAAATACATGTTCATTATGAATGATTCCTCCAATAGAAGTAACTATCCCCATAAAAACAGTAAGCATAGAAAGAATTGATATACATAACTCGATAATATTAAATCTTGATTCAATTGGAAAGTAACGAGAGAAATCAGTATTTCTTTCCATCAATAAGTAATATTATTTGATGATATTAAGATTTTTGGTTAACGTAAAAAAAATAACTAAAAAAAAAGAAAGTATTAGATTTGAACAATGTTGTTCTTTTCATAATAAATTTTAATTGGGATTTCAAGATTATATAAACTGTTTATCAGTGCAACATTTTGTAATGGTATTGATTCAATATTTGAAAGATAAGCATTACAATTTTCAAGAATAAGACTATGGGTTGATGATGGTAAAATAAGGGTTGGTTGATTGTAAACATTATTTAATTCAATAAATGTGAGTGATGTATAATATGATAAATCAATAATTTTTATATTGTTTGAAGTTTCTATTAAGTGTAATTGATACATATTATTATTTAATAAGAAGGAAGTAGTTTGAGTAGAAATAAGAGTTAAGGAAGTTAATTTTTTTAAATACTGTATATCTAATTGTTTATTAACATTTGATAATTCAAGTTGTATAAGATTTGATGGAAGTTTAAGAGAATTAGAATAACGACATGAAAGAAATTGAAGAGATGATGGGAAGTGAGGAGATTCAAGTAAGACATCATTTGCATAAAGAACAGAAAGATTTGAAAGATTTTGAAATTCACCTTTAAATGTTTTTCCAGTTAAAGATATTGATGTTAATAAATTAAAAGATTCAAAGGAAAAATAATGATTTGATAATGTTAATTGTCTAACATTTTGTGCATTATAAATTTTCCCATTTGATTTAAATATGACCAAATCTGTAACTGTAGATGGAATTTCTATATCATTGTCATTTTGAATTATTGTTATATTTTTAAGGAATGGGAATGTTTTTGTATATAAATAAAAGCAATCTTCAAGTGTTGTAAGTGAAGTTGGATAATTAATTGAATATTTAGAATAACTTTGTATTTCTTGTAATTGAGTGAATGAAGAAAAATCAAGACAGGATTGTGTTATTCCAGCTAAAATAATTTTAGAAGGAAAGTACATATCTATTATAAAAGAGTCAAATCCTTTAGAACAGTTTAATTCTAAATATTTATCAAATAATAATAAAATTGAATCATCAATTCCATTAAACCATTTATCACAACAAATCATAAATTTTGATTGGATATAAGGTATTTGAAGAGCTTCTTTAATAGATTTTTCATCAGAAAGAATAATTGTTTTATATTTTATGTTATAATTCCAAAGAATTTTTATAAGTGAAGAATTAAAATGATTAATCATTTGAATGTTAATTCTTTCTAATTGATTAAATTGATTTTTAAAACATTCACATAATTGAAAGTCTTTGAAACATTTAATACTTAATTTATTTAAATGAATAAATTGACTAAAATCAATTGGTTTTGTTGTGTTTGAATGTTGGTATACATTTAATTCTGTAATTTTATTTTTGAATGGAATAATAATGTCTATAAGTTGTAAGTCTATTTTTTTAATAATCATATTGTTTATTGTTGGTGGAATAAAATTTATATATTTTAATGTATTTTCATTAAGTACTATTGTTGTGATATTATCAAATAAGTTACACATTAAGAGAAAGCTGTTCATTTGTTGAAAATAGTCAACACTTTGAAATTGGTTTTGATAGTAGAAAAGAAGAGGGTTTTTAGACAGTTTCTTTACAATTCGTTGACATTTCTTATTAATACAAACAAAAGTAAAAAATGTTTGATATGTTTGTAAATAAGGAACAATAAACGACAAAGGGAGTTGTTCAAAATGCATTTCTTTAGTATTCTTTTTTTTTCAGATCTTCTTTCTTTCAAAACAAAACAATTGAAAACAGATAATTGTTGTTTAAAGTACAAGGAATAGAGAAAAAATAGCCACTAGAGTTATTGAAATGAACATTCCCGAGTTTGGATAATAGAAATAACATTTCCCTTCTTCATTAGGTAATTGATAAAGTAAAGACGATGATTTTGAAAGACATAATAAGCAATTTCCAACATCATCTGTTAATGTACAATCTGTTTCTTAAAGAATTAGAATAATGAAAAAGAAAAGAAGTAATAGAAAAAAAACAAACCAATACATTCACCATCAACGAGTTGATATCCTTCATAACATTCTTCACATTCATTTGTGTTGACTCTACATTGAAAACAATTTGATATTTTACATTCCACACAATTATTTTCTAAATTTGCGTTAAGTAATGAACATTCTAAACATTGTTCTGAAGAAGAAATACACGTTTTACATTGTTTGTCACATTGTTTACACTCATAATTATCTGTTAAGTAATATCCATTATGACATTCAACACATTGAATAATACCAGTTTCTGAAGACTGAAATGATTTACATGAAGATTCTGGTTTAAAACAAAATTTTCCATTACTTTCAAAAATATAATCTTCTTCACATTCACTACAAAATTCTGTTCCATTAAAATAATTAACACAATGACTTTCTCTACAAGTATTAGATGAGTCATCAAACATACAATAATTATTACATGTATTACATGCTTGAAGAGATGTTGTTGAATTACAAATTGTTTTTTCTTCTTTAGAGCACATTAAACATGTTTTATTTGGAGAAACATAATATCCAGGATCACATTCTGAACACTTTCCATTTGAACTACATTTTTTACAATTATCTGGACATATTGAACATCCTTTAGTTTCATTAAGAAAATATCCAGAAGAACAAACACGACATGACATTTCAGACGAATAAATTGAACAACCTTCTATTAATGTTCCATGAAGACATCTATGACCATCTTGAGATGGTATTAAATCTCCATAACAAACTTCACATCCACCAAAATCATTTTGAATAAGACAATTTTGAATTGCAATCACTATTTAATAAATAATGTTTATTTATTTATAGGATAATAACAAACTATCACACTGATGAGTAGAAGGATTGAGTGTAAATCCAATATCACATGACTCGCAAAGAGGTTTATCCAATACATATTTTGAACAATGAGGTGTATATTTTTTACATCTTCCATTGAGTAGATAATAACTTGAATGACAAGAATAACAATTATTATCTTCAGAACATTCATAGCAACCTTTTTCACAAGCTACAATCAATTAAAAATTCTTATTCAATGATGAGTGTATGTATAAAACAATTAAAAACAAACGAATACAATTATTTGAATTATCAAGTCTTGTTCCTGGTGGACATAAAACACAAGTATCATTTTTATATGAAATACATCCACTACTATTTCCTATTTTAATAAGAATTATACAAAAAAATATATACTAACTAGAAATAATCCAAACTTAAACAATTATCACCAACAAGATGATACCCATAATGACATGAAATACATTTACCACTTGTATCAATTTCCACACAATTTGGATATAAACTTTTAAAGTCTAGACATTATTTTTGTTTCTTCTTAATTAAAGATTGAACAAAAACAAACAAATACATTCAGCTTCAATAAGAATATATTGTGGCAAACATAAGGAACATTCATATTTATCATTATAATATTCTGGGCAATTAACACAAAATGGTATGCCACATGTAGTATTAACAAGTTGACCTTGTACGAATGAAGCAAATAATAACATTAAACTAAACAGGTTCATTCAACAAAACGAAGTTCAAATAGAATAAAAGATCAGATAAACAACGCTCTCAAACATAATAACGCCTTTATAAAAATCACTATTTTTTTCATCCTTCCACTCAAATTATAAACAGTAAGATTCTATATTTAATGATTGATTAAATTATTAAATTAACTATTTAATTTATGCTTTTTTTTATTGTTTGAAATTATAGTATTTTTTTATATTTTTTCGAACAAATGTGATTTGAATTAATTGCAATAAAAATAAACACGTAAACCTATTTAAAAAAAATGTATGATGACTTTTGACTTAATTTATAACTCAGAGAATATAATTCATGAAATTACCTCACTCATACCACTTCTACAACTACCACCTCATCAAAGATGGATCTATCTGGAAAAAAAACACTTCTCTAAACAACTGTATCTTTGGTGATTTATATCCTCATTCTGAAATAAATTGAACTTACTTGAAATATAACAATCACTTTTATGAATACTACAATAATGATGTACAATAAGTATCTTTCATGAACTATAATAACAGTTTAGAGATAAACACTCTTTTTTATTAATATTTTTCTTTTTCTATATTGTGGTTTACTTAACAAATTATATAGAAAAGATAAATGTTTTATCATTAACAACACCAACCAATTTATCACCAATTAGATTTAATGTATTTTTTAATGTCGGACAAAAACATTAGTGCTATTCTTGAATAAAGTTATAACATATTCTCCTTTACCTATTGCTTCAGAAAGATTAATCTCTTATTCCCACATTATCCTAATTAATAACACTTTTTAAAGTTCGTTCTTTTAATAATGTTTTATTCTTATAAACATTTTATCTCATTTGAAAACTTATTTCGAATTATTTATGTGTATTATTCTATATCAACATCCTTCTGTTTTTCTTATTTCATCTTAGGTACAACAATTCCCTAATTTTCTATTTAATTATTTTCATTTCATAATGAATTTCAAAGTGTTTAGACTAATCTTTTGATAATACTATTTCTATAAATGAATGTGTCATTTAAATGTATTGGTAATTATTTGACTTTCTTTGTTTTAATTGAATAAATTATTCTTGGATGTGTTTTTTGATACACTGTTTCATAAGTCTTTGAAAATATAAACTACAGTTGAAGAAAGTTTTATAGTGATACTTGTTTAATTAATAATGTTAGTGCTTCATTAACGATTAAAATATTCAACACATTGTGAAAAAAATAACCATTTCTAATACTCTTAGTTGTTGGTCAAATTGAAATGTTGTATCTTCATCATCAATTCTAATGAAGTTTATTTTTTTCTCTTTCTTCAAAAAGTCTGAATGAAAATGAAAAATTTAACTTCTGAATGAACTCCAGTCAATTTTTTATTCATCTGATAATTCAATGAACCCTCCAATACCTGATAAACAAGTCTCTGAAAT